GTTGGCAAGTGAAACAAAATAGCGGAAAGTGTCTTTCGACGTTCCCTCAAGAAGTCCACGGCGAGGTTCCAGTAAAACTTGACTGCCACTTAATTTGACTTGATGTGTTACTTTGACCACGAGTGCTATAGAATTTTTAAACATTTTTAACACTTGACATTGGCTAAATGCATAAGCCGTACGAAGCCATTTAGGAAAAAAAACCTACGTCGTGTCCAGTAGATTAATGTATTCAAATACTGATTTGGATATAACCAATGATTCAGTCAGCCCTAGGAGACATCTTCCGTAACAATCACTTGTATACAATCTTTTTCGCTAAATCGAAACACAAAATTGGGTTCCAGAATTAAATAAAAGATAATCTTAACCAAAATACTGTTTTATTTATTTATAAAAAATAATTACAGACAACTTTTATAAAAGAATCTCATTTCTATTTAAGTACATACTGAATATTACTAATATTTTATAATTAAGTATATTACAGTAAATTTACAATATTTATACAATAAATCAACAAAATTTAGAACATCAACGAAATCATTTAAAAAAAAAACTATGTAATTTCATGGTGTAACCATATGCGTAAATGTGTTTTTGACTAAAATTACTTAAAAAAACCAAGAGGTGCATCCTTAATAAAAAAAGGTATGCAATTAAATAAAAACTAAGAAACAATATTTTAAATGATGTTTCTCATTATCTGTAAATAATTTAATAAGGTACATAATTTCTAGATAATAGGCTTTTTGACAGTATGAAAAATAAAGTACCAACTGTTGGCATCTGTATTTAATATGAATATTAACAAAGATTTTATTATTCTGAGAGAACAAGAAATATTTAATAACTATTCTAAAAAAACATTAAATAAAAATGATTATTTCTAGTTCTATGGTGACCTAAAACGCATGGGATTAGCCAAAACTACAATGACGTCACACGCTAGTAAACTTCTGCCCAAAGTGACATCATATTGTATCGTTTGACGTTTTAATGGCAGTCGTGTGACGTCATATGCTAGTAAGACGCCATACTGACAAACGTTTCTGCGGCAATGTAAAATTAGATTTTTGATGTAGTTTTCTTAAAGAAATACACAACAGAAAAAGAATATCCACTTTGTAGACTCCATAAACATTAGTAAATAATGTGCAATCATTTACTTAAAACTTGTCCTTTATACAGATATATTTGTAATTATAATTTTAAGACAATGTGTTAACGTTAATTTAAAAAATATATAATATAAATAACGATTTTAAATAAAAGGAAAATTACCAATATAAAAAAAAACATTTGAAACTGTAAATTTAAATAGCGAAATATATACAGGTATACAGTATAATAACCAGGAGAGTTTACCATACAGGTCGCGGCACGTAAATCTAGCGCTGAACAAAACGCGGAGAGGATAGCTGCGCATGGGTACGACTGGAGAGCCAATCGGCGCAACGCACGCCCACCCGCGCACCTCGTTTCCCCCCAACACAACTTAATTGCACGCCTCACAACGCGCAAGCGTGTGGGAGTGCTTTACTCTCGATAGGCCGCTATGTGACGATTTTACAATATAAAATCGCTCTTATCTCCCAAGTTATACACTAAATCAATAAAAAAAATTTTTTTAAAAACTAGACATATTAAATTATAAAGTCAGCGTATTTTTTCATTTATTTTTTTAGTAAATATACCAAAAAATGTAGTTAAAAAATTATTAGTACTGCTGTCCGTTGAACTGTGCACTTGTTTGTCTGCACGTTTTAAAAATATATACGCAATTAATTGTAATAAATCTTTTTGAATTAATTTCCACTTATACTGAGTATGAACCCTATTTCTTATCATGATTGAACTGATAATCGTTTTAAAGATATTAATGATTTCTGTTTCGTGAATGTGAGGCGTGAACTTTTGGATTTTCCAAGTTTTTTTTACTTCTGCGCAATAACAGACACCGCTAGATTGTCGTGCCGCGACTTATACACATCTTCATTCTTTTTAATTTGTTCCAGACAATAAAGATTATCGTCAAAGTCACCTATACCTCTATATCAAAATTCAACAAAATTAATTCGGCGGCTTTGACGTGATAACGTCATCGACAGGCTGGACAGATGTAGCAAATATTTTATAAGAGCTCTCACAGAATCAAATAAAATGGATACAATTACCAGATTGGAATAAAATAAATTAAATCAATCCTTGTTTGTTAGTAATAGGTATTGTTATACATAATAACATTTTGCAAAATGTAAAAAAACATTTAAAATATTGTTCCCGAATTGGTCCGATTAAAATTATTTATATTAATTACAGCGGTACCTACTTATAATATCTAGCATGTATCTACAAGTTATTTTTAATATAAAGTATTGCTTAATTGACACAGCATGCTCAGTTAAATCCCAGAGTAAAAAAAACCTTATAATTTTTTTATTGTTTAGACAAGCTGTGATGCTTGAAGCAATTGTTTCAATTGTATTTTATACTTAAAGTATGTATCTGCTACATGTCTAAGTCTAAAGAATTTACTAGAAGAAAAAAAACACGCGGCAATACAGTTTATTTTTTCTATTCACTCGATATTTTTGTCATCGACCACGATAACACAAAGGATATATGCAAATATTTTTTATAGGAGATGGCCCAAAATTAACTGATGCATTGCACAAAAGGTTCTTAGTAACTTATTCTATGAAAAAAAGACAAAACTTTCACCGATTCTATATTGTGTGTTTAGCTCAAACTTTTTTGGAATAAGTTGGGTGGTTGGGTGGTGTTTAAAGAAAGAAAGAAAAAGGAAGACTTTACGAAATGCGGAGCGTACGGTGCTGATGAAAGTGTGCGAGCATTCAACTGCAAGTTATTGAAAACAACTGGAAATTTTACTTGAAACAAATTAAAAAAAAAACTTTATTTTAGATCTTATTACCTAGTTATGTTATTTTTCATATGCATAATACTGTAAACCATCGAACCTTTTTTTTTAATACTATTTATTATTTCACAACGTGAAACAAAAAAAAAATACTACGCGAGTGTTCCGCACACCCTGCATTTGAGCACTGGCATTGACGTGTGATGTGACATACGTGACACGCAGCCAGTGCGTACACATACACACGCATATTGCTTGTAGTAGTGAAATAGTCGGACTAAAACGATCGCAGCGCGGTTGCATGAAGCTATGTCTCTGTACGGCTTTTTTAATCATATGATTAACGAGGTCACTCAATTTAAAGTTAAATATATATTTATGAAATCGCTATGCAGAAGCACGATCACGTTACGAGCTCCTAACACGTTGTGGAGTTGTTTTTAATTATTTCATTATTATGCAACTGTTATAACATTGTTGTCACAGATGTGTGTCAAATTAAAATTTACTCTTTGTAAATAATTATTAAAATGCCAAAGTGCTTTATAAACGAATACGAGCATTTGTACTCCAGTCATGTATGTTTAATATGTATTTCTATATAAATACACTTATATATGTACAGTTTATGTATTCTATCCATTACCCTAGTATCCCATAACACAAGTCTTACAGTGCTTATTTTGGGGCTAGGCTAATTGGAATGGGTGTTTAAAAAAACAAATTATAATAAGTAATACCAACTACCTGAGATCCAACATAATATTTTTTTTTGTTTCATAAACCCTATTGCATTTAGAAGACTGTAAAAATTGTGCAGTTTTATATAAAACTTATAATAAAGAACCATTTTCAGTAAATGATATTGAGTCTGATTTAGAGAAATCAATTAAATTTTAAGTTTGATTAATGTTGATGCTGACACTTTCTTTAAAGTAATCATAATTAATGAGACAATTTGTGATGTGACTTCGTGATGCATTAAATTTATTTGAAGTTTCAGAGTATACCCGTAAGAGTCTTACTATGAGATTCAAATAAGAATAGGATAGCCAATGACCTCCATCTGTCAAATGTCACTTGAAAAGTACGGTTTCCAAAAAAATTTTAGAACACTTTTTTAGCACCGAGCTAATCTTAGGATAAAAACCAAACATTCATAAACAAAAGAAGGAAATAAATCATGTGAATGTATAGAAATTGAGTACTGGAAAAGAGAAATATAAGAACTTTAGTTTTATTATAAATACAGGTAATAAAAAGACCATTTTTATTTTAAATAATGTTGTCATTTTAAAACCTACAATAATCGATATTTTATATTATAGCTGAAAGCAGCAGTGATGATAATGTAGTGCAGAGATGACCGATATTAAAGAGATAGATTAGATTCCGATTAAATATTATTAAAAATGATGTTTTTATTTCTCTCAATATTAGTAAGAAAAATATATTTAAAAATATCATATTTTTTTCTCACTTCTTAGTAAATAAGTTTTATTAAAGAAAAACTTTTTGCTCTCTCTACCTAACCAGGTTGAATTGACAGCTATTACGTCACAATATGGCGCACAGTTGGTCCTATTCTTAGTTGAATCGCACTGTACTAGGCAATACAGTATTTACACTACATAATGTTTTATTTAGTGTGTGTAGTCTCATTATCACATACTGAATATTAGGTATTTATTCTTAACTGAGCATTGTTAAAAATAATGAAAAATATTGCAATGGCAGTATTACAATTGAGCGTTGTTCAGCAGACATTTTTTAAACTAGTAAAAATAAGTTCTGTGGAAATATGTTAAAGTATGACTGTGAAGGCAGAAAGCAACCATAGTTTATTTTTGGGATGAATCAGAAAAGAACTTTAATATCGATTTGTAGAAAAAAAATTTGCATTCTTCAAAAATATCCGCTGGTTGCTTTGTGCTTAACGACATTCAATTCTAATACAGCCTTTGCAATATTTTCATAATTTTTAGAATATTTTTTTAATTGTGATGGGCAAAAAGCAATGGAGTTGAACACATAGAATTTAAATAAACAATAAAAATAATTACAATTATAATTATGTACACATAAAATAAATGGAAAGTAAGTGTATTTTACAACTAGCATGCATCATAAAAGTATCACAATTTTGGGAAATTCTTTGCAAAAGAATTTCAGTGTTTACCATTGATTCCGTTGGTGGCAGATTCTCTTATGCTGTGCAAATGGAATGGCGAAATGGTGAAAACCTCTCCTTTGACAAGTTCCTCCAAGTTTTCTCCTCCGTACGACAACAACGGTGATATCTCAACGTCAATATTATCTCCGATCTCACCACCTGCTTCCCTAATATATTTTCTATGTAGTCTCAACAAATCTTCACGGGCGGTCGACGGGCAGTCCTTCTTAGCTGCATCAGCATTTTTCAATGCAGAAAATTCCACATCCCTAGCTACTTCCAAGCAAATAAAGTTCTCAGCAAACTCAAACACATCAAATATGAACTTCTCCATTTTAATACCGTTAGGTTCTGATGGTTTTTGTTTAACACCATTATCATCAACATAAGGAATTTTCTTCTTTGCAACATGCAACTTCAGTTTGGATTCGAAATCGCAGATTTTTGAAAGGAATTCAGACGAGAAATAGTGGTTGCAAATGTTCCCAGCTGAGAATGTGAGACGACCGTCGGAGTTTCTACGGTTCGTTGCTTCCTCTGTCATTTCAGAATACTCAACTACTTTATAGTGGCCGTTCACTCTGCAAACTACACCAACAGCTTCGCTCGGAGTAGACTTCTGAACAACTTTTGCAGCACAATCTGCATTTTTACTTTTACAGTATCCAATAAAGACCGGATCTGCTACCTTAATAAGTATATTATCAACCGAATGGGCATGCAAATGTTTAACATTTCTCTTACCAATGTCCTTAAGAATGCCTTGTCTTTTCAATGCACGATATAATCCTCCATTACCATCGGGAGCGGAAGACAAGTGGTGTTTCCCCTCTAAAATAATTTTTCCATCAAAATCAAAGCATGGTAACCGACCCTGTTCAAAGAACACAATATCCTCTTCCCTGAGGCCGAAGTAATCATGGTTTTTGAAAAACTCTGCTGTTGGTGCCTTAGTATGTTCCGAAGTCATAATATACCAAGTGATTCTACCTTCTTTGCCATGTTTCTCTGCAGCCAACTCCTGCACTCTCACTATCCTTTCAGCTTGAATTTGAAATAAAGTTTTCTTTGATGGTAAACCAACATCATACATTCCCTTGGGGTGCCCGAAACCAAGTCTAGTCGCCTGCCCTCCGGCTAGAAGCAAAACGCCAACTCTACCTTCAGAGATCTCTTCTAGGCCAATATTTTCATACTCCTGCACTTTAGATGCCGTCAAACTCGGCACTGACTCGTAATGACTCTGGGGTATGGGTTTCAAATCATCACCCGATTTTTCTAGAATAACTTTCGTGGTTTCGTTTGCCCGACGGAAGATCTCGTTGACTTCGGCCAAATCTAACTTCAGTATCTCCCCGGATAGTAGTTCCCTTTCATTTTCATCGAGTTCCGGCCAAAACTTGATAAGTTGATCCTGGCCGTGGCACTTTAACAATTCCTCGAGTGTTTCGAAAGACATTGTGTCACTTCACCAGGTGCGAACGGCGCGATTAGAAAGCGAGGACTGGTGCACGGCCCGTAAGGCGCGGAGTTAACAGCTCCCACCACATTTTAATAATATGCGAGAGGAAAACAAACACGTAAGCCGCAAGACTTCGGCGACTTCGCGCTTTGACGTTTTGGTTGAATTGACGTTTCGCTTAGTGATGCCAGGATCATACCGATTCCCTACAATATCGATTCACAACAACATCTTCAACAATATTTGAATCCACTCAACTAATACAAATTTTATCCTAAATAAAATCATAATGCAAGAAGATTCATAAATCGTGTGACCCAAGTTTTAGATACTTGATCAGTTTTTGAAAAAAAAAGACAAGAATGAAGTAGGACACTAACAAAGATGAAATGTCTTTAGTTCACTTTCATTTAAACTGGCTGCGCCTCATATGCGTAACTTACAAAAAAAGTGTCATCGGAACCACAGAATTAACATGAAATGTTTGATCTCTGATATTAGTAATGTAATTAAGAATCTTTTCCAGTACATTTTTTGAGCACGTCGCTTTTTTGCTTATTCTATCTACCATTCCCCAAAATTTACAGCGATTTAGTTCTATTTAAAAAAAAGCTTTTGTTTTAGGTTTCAATGGCTTTTCCCACACCTGCACGACGAAACATGGTATTATTACCCCTAAAATTAATGTTTGAAATTTAAATCGAGCTGCGTAAAGATAGACACTCGCCGATAGCTTGAATTACAATTTATAATAATAATAGCCAGTTTAAATTTGTCAGTGAAATGATAGATTTGTATGTGCAACTCAAAGAGCGAACTTGCGTTACGATAGAACTAATTTTATTCAAAAAATATTTTTAGGGCTCCGTATTTCAATTAGCAATTAGCTCGAGTGGAGGTTGTCGCGAAGGATTCGGTCCAGGGGAGGCATCCGTTGAAGGAGCACTGCATCGACCCGCCGGCCAGGGAGACTCGTAGAAACGGCTGTCTCGCTGGCCGCCCGTGGCACAGTACAGGGGCCCAAGCATTAGTAACCAGTTCGCAAGGCTGCCCCATCATGTCACGCATAATCCCGGGGTGGACCGTCGTGCCGGTTGGTGACCGGAGCGTGGAGACCCGGCGGCCACTCCCGGGGAGGTGTGGGGGCTCTTCCGTCCGGCGGGTCGGTGCATCTCCTCTGCAGGCAGTCAATCAGGTAAACAAACCTCCCTTATTTGCCCGGACTCTTCGCGACAAAGTCCGCTCGTTTCACGTCTCTTTTTTCTCTTCCACCATGGCAGCCTCTATAACAAAGTTTGGGCGTACAGCGGAGCACACCCCCACGCCTTCAACGCGGTTTGAGGTCGAGTTCTGCAACATACGCGGACTCCACTCTAACCTCAACGCTGTCCACCACCATCTTGAGACAGAACGGCCAGCATTTTTGTTCCTGACGGAGACACAAATACTTCCCCCTGCTGACACAGGCTACTTTAACTATCCTGGCTACGTGCTTGAAGAGTCCTTTAAAGCGAAAGCCGGTGTTTGCCTGTATGTTTGGGCGGATGTTTGCTGTCGCCATCTTCGCTGCTTGGAAGATCCCTCCTTCTCCATGTTACTTGTGCGTCTACAGATCCCATACTGGCGATGTTGAGACAACTCAACTTTTCGAACATCTTAGCCGGGCAGTAGATGACGCGCAGGAGCAATATCCCAATGCAGAATTGGTGTTTTTGGAGGACTTTAATGCTCACCACAATTTGTGGTTAAGTTCCTCGAAAACTGATCATGCAGGGATTTCTGCTCACACATTCGCTCTCACGCATGACTTGAATCAACTGGTCAATCAGTCCACCAGGATTCCATATATTTCAAGTCAACCGCCTTCATAACTGGACCTTTTGCTCACGACCCATCCACAGGGCTATCAGGTTGTGGTAGGAGCCTGCCTGGGCTCTTCGGATCACTGCCTGATATCTGCCAAAGCGTCACAGGCCAAGCCTCCGCGCCCAACAGTGGCAAAACGCCGGATCTGGTACTATGGGTTGGCAGATTGGGACGGTATGCGTGACTACTTTGTCCAGTCCATCCCTTGGCTGCTTCAATGACAAGGACCTATCAGCCAGCACCGTTGCTATTACTGACGAGATTGTAATGGGTATGGAGTACTATATTCCTCATTCCAATTTCATCAGTAAGGGCACACGTAACCTCTGGTTCAATCACGACAGTGCTGAAGCTGCTTCGCGTAAGCAAGCGGAATATCGTCAGAGGCCGAGCTCTTAAGGATCCCGGGATCGATTCACTAAAAGCAGCCTACAATATTGCATCCAAGGCCTGTAAGAAGGCTTACATCAGAACGGATGCCCAGCGCGTTGCACGTGTTGGTCACGAACTCATAACGCAGATACGCGTACGTCACCAAATTTCTTTGTCGCACTATCCGTAATTGGAATGCTCTGCCCGCTCATGTGTTCCCTCCCTCTTACAATTCAAAGGATCACACCTTTAAAAGAGGCGTGAAGAAGCAACATGCAGGCCGGCATGCGACAGGGTGAGGATGGCTGGTGTGGCAGGTAGAACTGCTGTATCAGCTATCTTCGCATCTGACCTTCACCTTCACTTAACATCAGGTGAGGTGGAGTCATTTGTAGGACCTATCTATAAAAAAAACTTATATAAAATCACTCGGTTGTCTGACTGTCTGTATGCCTGTCACAGTCGATTTCCTTGTAATCTACTTGATCAATGAAGTTGAAATTTGGTACATACATGTATGTCTGCGACCCTAACTCAACGAATAAAGTAATTTGCTAAATTCAGTATATGAGAGAAATTCAGAGAGGAGAGAGCTCTGAATTTCTAATCTAATGTTTTTTATGTATATCAATGAAATAAGTCGTTTCGATACTAGATAATTCAATATTATCACCTGTGGTGTGCTGAAAGCTTAAAGTACTTAGAGCATATGCTCTAAGTTTGAGTAAGGTTGTAAGCGAAAAAATATCACATGCATTAATCGATATTGTATCGATATATATTGTATTATCGTTAAGTCCATGGTTTTCTGAACTTGAAATTTTAAAAACAAAAATGTCAGATGGCTTCGTCGGTGGCGCATTGTATTTACTGCTCGTTATTCTAGAATTTATTCTAGACAACCTGTTTGTTGTGTGTTACAATGTGGTATTTGTTTTAAAACAATTATTACTATTGCTTTTTAATGTGATAATGTCAGATTCGCCGAAGAAACGCAAACAAAGCATGAACAACAATACAAGTCCGACCGTTGCCGTAAGAGGTATTATAAACGCGAATTGGCAGATACTACTCAACAGCAACCTAATATCGGACGAAAAGACGGAGAAACCGGTCGAGAACGCCCCAAATCACCATTACACTGGTACATTTCGTAGGGCGAGGAAGAAAAAAGCGCAACAATCCACAACAGTCGAAAATAACCTAAAAACCTTAGACTTAAACAAATCTCACAATCATAATAGAGACACTAAAATTAAAGATGTTCCTACCAACAGTGCCAATGTAGTAGTCAATGAAAATGTAGATAGTTCAGTTAAAGATAATAGGAACAGGTTAACAAAATTCATCGCTATAGACTGTGAGATGGTAGGTATTGGCCATGATGGTAATGACCACATGCTAGCCAGGGTGTCATTAGTTAACAAATTCGGTGACTGCATATACGATAAGATTGTAAAAGCACGCGAAGAAGTTGTAGACTACAGAACAAATGTGAGTGGCATCAGAAAGGAGGATATGTTGAATGGTGAAGATTTCAATGTTGTACAGAAGGATGTAGCCAATATTATTAAGGGCAGAATACTCGTTGGACATTCGTTGAAGAACGACCTCGCAGTACTCTTTCTGTCGCATCCCAAAAGGAATATCAGGGACACGTCCAAATATAAACCATTTAGAAAGGTATGCTCTATTTTTATTTATTCAATAATTTTAAGTAGCCATGTGAGGCGAATTCTAAAAACAGGAAAGAAATTGTGTCGTAATAGTAACTGAATTAGAGAGTTTAGTAAGCAGCAAACTTCTTGAATAAAACCATGGACTTATAAACTTGCACAGCGGAAGTTGGCCGGGTTGCCAGGTAAGGGGCTGTCTATTATTTACGTGATGTATATTTGGCATTTTTTAACCCCACCTAACCCCTTGATGATACATGGTGATGTTTAAGACTTCCTACTTTTTTAAATATATATATAATACAGGTATAAGTATCATCTAAATTTGTAATAGAAAATTAAAGACTACAATACTAACGTTTAGAGGTGGACAGAAAGTTTGCAGATTGTTTTTGACTGACATAAAAATGATGAAAGAAATCCCAAAAACTTTTTTGTACTAATACATGAACATTATTTAATGTACAGTATCTTTGGAGCACTGCAAAATATGTGATATATTACTACACCCACCCTCTCCACTTGGGAGATTTCATAATTTTTTTATGGACTCCCCCCCCCCCCCATCCGAGGCTCACGTGATTAATGGACAGCCCCTAACCTGGTAGAGATTGATTAATTAGTATTATAACCACCTTTCATGTTTGCATTCCTATGTTTTATGGCTTTTGTATTTTGAACAATAGTGCAATAAAGAATATTCATTCATTCAAGTTTTTGTATATGAAATTACTACTCTACAAGCTTTGTTTTCTATCTATTATATTTCTATTCTATTGTAGTTGCTTGACGATATAGCTCTGATCATATAATAACTTCTTGAGGTTGCACCATCCTGTCAAAAGCCATAAAACCCAAATAGGTTGTGGAAGTTAGGTCAAAAATATTGTAAAATACAGGGTGTAAAAAACCTATGACAAAGACTAAAACTATGCATTCTGTACACCAAAACAAGTAATATTACAAAATATTATACGTGGGAAACATTTGTATTTTTAAGTTAAAAAAGTACATTATTTTTTCCAGTACGCAATGTATGTATAGGGCGGTGCGCTACTGAGGCGCTATGCAAAGAGTGTGCGTGTGTGTAGGTGTGATGATAAAAAAAGTTTCTAAATAACGGTTTGAAAATATTAATGTATAAATCTGGAAAAAAAAATGGTGACTTGACCTTCAATATCTCCATTATATAAATTTCCCAGGTATGGTCCAGAAGAAAAAAATTAT